CTGGGCAGAGGTGGTGGGGACCTGTGGAGACAGGATAGTCAGGGCCAGAGCAGCCACTGCTCCTGCCTCGGGGCTGGCCCCTGCACACACATATGCACACTACACAGATACAGAGATAGACAGGCATGTGTGCATCCCACACAGATATATGCACACACAGACATACATGTACACATGGATACACAGACCTACAGGCATGTGTGCATCCCACACAGATACATGTACACACAGACATACGTGTACACATGGAAACAGATCTGCGGGCACACGTGCATCCCACACAGATACATTTATACACAGACATATGTGTGTACACGGATACACAGATCTGCAGGCACGTGTGCATCCCACACAGATACATGCTCACACAGACATACATGCACGGCGCGTATGCGCGCACACACACACACGCACACACACACTTCACATACTCTCTGCATCTCACTGTAGCCCTGACATCCTTATGGGAACTGCTGAGAGGCGCTGGAGCGAGCGTCCAGGACTTTGCCAGAGCTCCGGAGCACCTGTAATGAGGCTGTTCCGAGAGTGACGGACACACCACACCCGCAGAGGGAAGCAGTCGTGCTTTCCCACTTTGGTCAACCAAGCTACGTGTTAAAGGAAGGCTTGGGGGCTGGAGTGACAGTACAGCAGGCACGCGCTTGCCTTGCATGAAGCAGACCCGAGTTCAGTCCTTGGGTCCCCTACGGCCCCCTGAGCCCGCCCGGAGTGATCCCTGAGCACCCCCAGGCATGGCCCCGCAAAACAAAAACAATCAAAAAATATTTAGAAGGCATTAAGTTAAATTAAAGCCTAGTTGTTGAAATTAATGTCATTTTAAAACTTTAAAAATGTGACTACTAAACCTTTAATTTGGGAGGGGGGGTTGGCCCCGTCGTGGCAGTGCTTGGGCATTCTGGGTGGCGTCAGGGGGACGCGCGACGCCAGATTCAGAGCCAGCCACAGAGCTTATGCTCCAGCCCTTTGAGCTCTCTCCCTGGCTCTAGAATTTGAAATTTTGTTTGGGCAACATTGGTTTATGTCATCTAGGTTTCCTGTGTACAGCATTATAAATCAGCATCTGCGTCTACTCCATTATGTTCACCACTAAAAGCTTCTCCCCTTCATCATGAACTTGTCCCTCTTTTTCCCAATTAACCCCTCTCCAGTCCCCCCCCCCATTCTAGTAACCGCTGTTTTATAGAATCGTTTAAATGACATGTGTGGCTTGCCTTGTGTTTCTGTTGGCAGCTCTGGGCCAAATGCCAAATGGCCGTGTGAAAGGGTTAACGGGTGAAGGGCACATTCTAGAGAATGTGGGGTGCCTCTCGCACCCGGCATGTCTGAGCAGGGTTACCAAGTCAGGACTTCAGGCTTTCATCACAGGGAAATTTTTTTTTTTAATTCAATGATCTGCTTTTTAAAAATTGGGGCCAGAACAGTACAGAGGGTAGGGCACTGCCCTGGCGAGCAGCCGGTCTGGGTTTGATCCCCAGAACCCCATATGGTCCCCCAAGTACTGCCAGGAGTGATTTCTGAGTGCCGAGTCAGGAGTAACCCCTGAGCATCACTGGTGTGACCCAAAAAGAAGAAGAAAAGGGGCTGGAGCAATAGCAGAGCAGGTAGGGCATTTGCCTTGCATGTGGCCGACCTGGGTCCAATTCCCAGCATCCCATATGGTCCTCTGAGCACTGCCAGGGGTAATTCCTGAGTGCAGAGCCAGGAGTAACCCCTGTGCATTGCCAGGTGTGACCAAAAAAAAAAAAAAAAGAAGAAAAGAATTAACAAAAAAGAATTAAAAATTCAAATTCCCTTTCAGGGGGCTGAAGAGATAGTCCAGCGGCGGGCAGGGCACTTGCCTTGCGGCCAACCCAAGTTCAATCCCCCGCACCGCACATGGTCCCCCAAGATCCTTGAGCGCAGAACCTGGAGTAAGGCCTGAGCACCGCCAGGTGTGGTCAAAGCGAGCAAGCAAACGTTCCTTTGCGGGGCCTGAGGGGGCTGCCCAGCGGGCCGGGAGCATCTTTGTGTGCAGGAGTCCAGCTTCAGTCCTAGGAGCACTTGTCTCTGAGCACCTCAGAGAGCAAACACCCCACCCCACAGCACTGAGTAACCTCTGCCTTCCTCCCCTCCCTCCCGCCCTCCCTTCCTGCCTGCCTTCCTCCCCTCCCTCCATCTCTCCATCTCTCCCTCCCTTCCTTCCTTCCTTCCTTCCTTCCTTCCTTCCTTCCTTCCTTCCTTCCTTCCTTCCCTTCCTCCCTCCCTCCCTCCCTCCATTTCTCCCTTCCTCCCTTCCTCCCTCCCTCCCTCCCTTCCTACCCCCCCCCCCACGTGTATGCTAGGGGCACACCCAGCTGTGTTTATTGCTTACTCCTGGCTCTGTGTCCACTCCTGACAGAGCTCGGGGGACCATATAGGTGTCAGGGATTGAACCTGGGTCTTCCACGAGCAAGACAAATGCCCTCCCCACTGTTCCATGGTTCCCTTCCTCCCTCCCTCCCTCCCTCTCTTTCTTCCTCCCTCCCTCCCTTCCTTCCTTCCCCGCCCTCCTTCCTTCCCTACCTCCTTTCTTCCCGCCCTCCTTCCTTCCTCCTCCGGAGTCTCACACATACATGTAAGACGTGTGAGTCAGAGCCCAGCCCCTTTCATCTCTGTAGGAACGCGAATCTGCAGGAAATCAGACCTTTTCGTTTCCTTCTTTGCTCAGTTTGAGAGGCCTGTTCCCAGCCCGCCTGCCCCCTCTCCTGCACCGCACGACTTCTTTATGAGCAGGGCTGTGATATCCTTATAGAAACCACTCCCTGCCACGGGCCCTGCTCCCTCCATCAGCACTCCTATCCTTTCTGTGACCCCCGCCTTGGGAGGGGGCAGTCTGGAGGGGGCAGTCAGAGCAGTCAGGCAGTCACCCTCTGTCCCCCTGGCCGTGGGACAGAGGGTGGCGTGAGGCTGCCCTCAGTGACTTCAGAACCCTCATGACAGCCCCAAGGAAACGGGATCGCCTCACCCCTGACAGTCCAGTCGGGGAGGCAGGAAGGGGTGGACGGAGGTAAGGGAAGGTGGGTTTTTGTTTTATTTTGAGGCCATACCCATAGATGCTCAGGGGTCATTTCTGGCCCCGCACTTGGGGGTCACTCCTGGGAGGGTTCAGGGGTCCTAACGGGATGCTGGGATTGAACCCTCGTCACGTGCATGCAAGGCAAACGCCCTCCCCACTGGGCTTCTGCTCTGGCCCATGGTGGGTTTAGACTGAAAATCATCCCACTCAAGGCTGCTGTCACCACCGCGGGAACCATCATGGCCCCGCTCAGGCCTGAGCATGTCAGTCAAGACTGTGATTTACCAGCCGTGGAGAGGGTGAACTAGACTTCACATGTGAAAGAAGAGAGAAAAAGGTTCAGGGAAGTTCCAGTTGTCTGTATGATGATGGCCATGCTGCACTTAACTTAAGTACTGAGGTATTGTGTGTATGTGTGTGTGTGTATGTGTGTGTGTTTGTGTGTGCGTGTATGTGTGTATGTGTGTGCATGTGTGTGTGTGTGTGTGTGTGTGTGTGTCTGTAGCACTGTAGCACTGTCTTCCCGTTGTTCATCGATTTGCTCGAGCGGGCCCAGTAACGTCTCCATTGGAGACTTTGTTGTTACTGTGTCTGGCATATCGAATACTCTCGGTAGCTTGCTGGGCTCTCTGAGAGGGGCGGAGGAATCGAACTCGGGTCGGCCATGTTGGCTGTGTGCAAGGCAAACGCCCTACCGCTGTGCTATCGCTCCAACCCTGTTACCTTAGTTAAATAGTAAAGTAAAGTAAAGGCCCTCCCGTTGATCATCGATTTGCTCGAGCGGGCCCAGTAACGTCTCCATTGGAGACTTTGTTGTTAGTGGGTTTGGCATATCGAATACACCACAGGTAGCTTGCCAGGCTTTGCCGTGTGGGCGAGATACTCTCAGTAGCTTGCCGGGCTCTCCGAGAGGGGTGGAGGAATCGAACCCGGCTCGGCCGTCCTACGGCTTGCAAGGCAAACACCTTACTGCTGTGCTATGTGTGTATGTATATGTATGTGTATATGTGTGTTTATGTATGTGTGTGTATGTATGTGTGTGTTCATGTGTGTCTGTGTGTATGTGTGTGTATGTGAGTGTATGTGTGTGTATGTGTGTGTGTGTGAAGCACTTTAGAAGCCCAGAAAGCCCCTTCCCCCGCGTGCTCTGTGGAGAAAGCCCCCTTTGTGGAGGGTTTCTCTGGAGAGAGGCGGGCAGGAGGAAGAGACTCGCCATTTGTCCCCTCACGCCCCTCCTGTGTGTGCTGCCCGGGGGCCGAGGGGTGGCCAGAAGGGCTGGTGCAGGGCCTGAGCTGTGCGTGTGGAAACAGACCCACCACCCGCTTCTAGTAAGCCTCATGCCCCACTCGTGGCTGCCAGGCCTTGCGCCCCTCCCTGTCCTGAGCACCCGTGCAGAAATCTGAACTGCCCCTCGCCTCCCAGGCCACCACGGAGACAGAGACGGGGACCCCCTGCCTGGGTCTGGGCCGAGGGGCTCCTTGGATAAGCGGTTAGAAAGGCCTGTGCCCTTTGCCGTGCTCACTCTGTGGGGAGCCTGGCCGAGGAAGTTGAGTGGGTGGGCGCGGGTGCCCATCAGCTCTGCCCCTTCCCATCCCCCCAACACCGGCAAGTCAGGAGGCGGACTGAGGGCAGAGGCCGGGAAGCCTGGGTGCCATGGCTCGCCCTCAGGGCTCTGAGGTGCCTGTGCCCTCTTCCCTGAGGTCGCAGAGACCCCCACTAGCCTGACACCCTCACGGACTTCAGCCCCGCCCCCACCCCAAGGGTCAGGCTGCCGCACTCAGCCCTCTGCCGGGAAAGCTCACATGTTTGATTTAACGGGATCCGGTGTCTGAGCCTTCTCCGGCTTCCCCCCAAGGGCCTCCCTGGCACAACTCTAGGGGGCGCTGTTTCAGACGTCTCTCCACCTGGCGCCCGGCTCATTCTCCCACTTCTCTCCCTCCTGCAGGCTCTTGAGCAACAACAGGATCAGCGGGCTCCGAAACGGCTCCTTCCTGGGACTCGCCCTGCTGGAGAAGCTGTGAGTGCCTGCGGGCCGGACGGTTTTCGGGCCAGAGATGGGAGTTCAGCCCCTGGGGGATGGGGACACCTGGTGCCAAGGCCCAGAGCAGCTGGGGAACCTCCGATCCGACAGCGATGAGGCCCAGGGAAGCTCCTTCTGCCCCTGCGGGAGAGTCGCCTGAGTGCCTTGCTTTCCTCTCCTCACGGGTGGGGAGCGGCCTAGAGCGACAGGGCTGTTTCCTCCTGAAATCACTTCAGCGAGTTCCAGGGGCAGAGCTAAAGCCTGGAGAGCATCTTGTCTACCCCAGCCTGGGGCCAGAGGGACAGGACACGGGGAGGGCGTCTGCCTTGCACACAGCCGATCCGGGTTCAATCCCTGGCATCCCACCTAGTCTCCGAGCACCGCCAGGAGTGATTTCTGAATGCAGAGCCAGTAGTGACTCCTGAGTACCACTGGGTGTGCCCCCCCCCCCACAAAAAAATAAACAAATGTCCCCAGCCAGAGACCCACTCTGTGCCAGCTAGAGAGTATTCTGGCAGCTTCGACCGGGCTACAGGGACCTTGAAGGACTCCTGACCCGTCCCCCCCGGGGGGCGCAGACAACCTTCCAGGACCCCCATCTCTCACGGGCTCCTGAAGGGCCGCCCCGGGGAACACCAAGGACTCAGTCCTGCCTGCTCCGGAGGACCTGGCCTCTGCCTCTCCTGGACAGGATCCCGGCTCTTCCCAGGCCTGCCAACCCCCCTCCCTCATCTCTGAGGAGTATGCCTGCCCCGTTCCCCCCAACATACACACACACACACACACACACACACACACACACACACACACACACAATCCACTCTCAAGGACCCTTTTGCTGAGGAGGCTTGATTTTTAAAATTTAGTTATTTATTTATTTTATTTTAAAAATCTTATTGAGGGCTGGAGCAATAGCACAGCGGGTAGGGCGTTTGCCTAGCACGCAGCCGACCCGGGTTCGATTCCCAGCATCCCATATGGTCCCCTGAGCACTGCCAAGGGTAATTCCTGAGTGCAGAGCCAGGATCTGTGGATCACCAGGTGTGACCCAAAAAGCAAAAAATAAATAAATAAACAAATAAAAATAAAAAATAAAATCTTATTGAATCACTGTGAGACAGTAACAAGCTTTCAGGTTTGGGTTAGGATCACACAATGATCAAACACCCATCCCCCAAACACCAGACGCACATCCCCCACCACCAACATTCCCAGTATACCTCCCCCTTCCCACCCTCCCCCTGCCTCCATGGCAGACATGATTCCCCATACTGTCTCTTTACCTTTGGGCATTATGGTTTGCAATACAGACCCTGAGAGGTTATCATGCGTGGTCCTTTATCCACTTTCTGCACACATCTCCCATCCCGACCGATTCCTCCAGCCATCATTTTCTTAGTGATCCCTTCTCTATCCCAGCTGCCTTCTCCCCTTTACTCATGAGGCAGGCTTCCAGCTATGGAGCAGTCTATCTGTCCCGTGTATCTACTATCCTTAGATGAGGCTTGATTTTTTTGTGTGGGTGGGGCATGCCCAGCGTAGCTCAGGGCTTGTCCCCAGCTCTGCAGGAACGGGTCCCTGAGCAAGACCCCCAAGGGCGGCCCTGTACTAGGCTCCCGGGAGGGCAGTGAGGGTGCAGAGGCCCCAGGTGAGAAGCCTGCACTCACCCAGAGCCAAAGAGACCTCAGCGGCCCCCAGAGGCCCAGCAGACATTAGAATGGCAGGTTGGGGGATGTTTAGATCTTTATCCGAGGGTCTTTCTCACACCCACTGATAACAGCCCGGCAGAGCCTCTCCTGCCTCCCTCCTTGCTGGAGGAGGGGCGGGATAGGGTGGCGCCGTGTCACAGGCAGGAGGAAGGCATGTTCAGTCTGCTCTGGGTGGGGGGCAGGGAGGGGTCTCACAGAGACAGGCCCCTCGGTGGGATGGACAGACAGACAGGAGGCAGACACCAGAGCTGCTGTTAGAAAGCCCCCCGACGGCGCCAACACTGGGGCGGCTTTTCTTCCCACAAGCAGCGAAGCCCTGGGGACGCCTGCCCTCAGCCCAGCCTGCTCTTAGAGGGCTGAGGCCGGAAACAGACTCTCCTTCCAGGGATCTCTGGGGAAGACAAGCCACAGCCCGGCTGCCCTGCCCGCCCCCTGCCTAGCTGGTGTCCAAGCGCTGCGGCTCTTCCCATCGGGACCCTCCCGCTTTCTCGGTCAGGATGCACGAGCTCTGCCCCTTCTCCGCATCTTCCAGTTGTCCGAGGGTGACCTTTCTGCTAGGATGCAAAGATGCTCCTTTGCTGCACCCCATGCACACATGCCTCCTCCCTCAGATAGGAGATTCCTGAGCACAGAGCTGAGAGTCAGCCCTGAGTGCCGCTGGGTGTGGCCCCTCCCAGGAAGCTGCCCTGCTCGGGCCCAGAGCAATGGGACAGCAGGTGGGGGCTGGCCTCGCACAGGGCTGACCCAGGCCCCATCCCCAGCACCCTATATGGTCCCCTCCGAGCCCTACCAGGAGTGATTGCTGAGTACAGAGTCAGGAGTAAACCCTGAGCACTGCTGGGAGTAGCCCCCCCCCCCCCCCCCCGCACACACACACACACACACACTACACTGCAAAACAAATCCTGAGATCCTTGGGTGTGCGATAGTACCGCAGGTAACGTGCTTTCCTTGCACACGGCTGACCCGGATTCCATCCCCAGCATCCCATATGGTCCCCGAGCACCACCAGGAGTGATTCCTGTGTGCAACCCAGGAATCACCTCTGAGCATCACCGGGTGTGGCCCAAAAACCAACTAATGGAAAGTAACTCTCATCACCAGAACCCCCCCGGGGAGGGAAGGGGCTCTTCTCTGCCGGGTCAGAAGGGGCCTGGGAATTGCTTCCCGGGGTGCCCAGACGGTTCTCCTGCTCTGCAGGCTTGGAGCCAGTGCACCGATGACCCCTGCACTGGGCTATTCATCACGGACGAGGCGCCAGGCTGTTAACACTGAGCTCTCTGTCTGCAGGCAGAGATGGCCAGGGCGGCAGGGCTCAGGGCAGCTCACAGCCCACAGCCCAGGCAGTGAGGAGGCCGTGGGCGGCCTTGAGACTCGGGGCTCCAGCCTGTTCGGCATGTCAGCATGGGAGGAATCCACACGGTCCCCACTGTTGGCCAGGCCCGGCCCGAGGGTGGGAGAGGGGACGCAGAGGGGGTGCTGCGCCGGAATCGGGGGTCTCACCGGGGATGGCACAGTATGCAGGGCGCTTGCCCAGCACGTGGCCGGTTCAAGATTGATTCCTCCGCCCCACCCCACCCCTCACCCCCATATGATTGCCCGAGCCTTTCAGGGATGATTCCTGAGTGCAGAGCCAGGAGTCAGCGCTGAGCACCACTGTGAGGAGTGGGGGAGAGAGAGAGAGACAGAGAGAGACAGAGAGAGACAGAGACACACAGAGACACAGAGAGAGAGAGAGAGAGCAGAGCAAGAGGGAGAGAAGGGGAAAGAGAGAAGATATAGAAAGAGGGAGGTAGAGTGTGAGAAGACTTGAGAGGGAGAGGGAGGGAGCAGGAGGGAAGCAGGGAGAGAGGAAGGGAGGAGGGAGAGAGGAAGGGAGGGGGGAGGGAGGGTGGGTGGGTGAGGGAGAGAGGCTGCATCTGTGACGCGCACACCCAGGAGGCACACACCACCTTCCCGATCTCTCTGAGCCAGGACAGAGGACAGGAAAGCCAAGATAGCGCTGGAAAGCTCAGCTGGTGCAGAGTAAACAGCTGCTCGGACACACAGTGGGTGGTGCTCTGAGCGCCCTCCTGCCCTGCCTCCCGCCATCCTGCGACCCTCAGGGCAGAACTGCCCCATGATGCCCACCCCATTTCTCTGGAGTCCCTCGCTGTAGAGTGGGCACGGGAGGACTCCCCGAGGGGAGGTGCAGAAGGCCAGAGGCTGGGAGCGGCCCCCCACTCCCTCCTCACCCTCCCCAGCATGTCTCTCCGCTCCTTGGCTCCTTGGCCTGGGCCCAGCAGGGGCAGAGTTAAAATGTGCTCCCCCAAGTCCTGGCTGTTGACTCATCCCTCTGGGTCCTCACGTGCTACTCACAGCCCCCCTGTGGTGCTGTCCCCACTAGGGAGACCCCAGGAGACTCCCCAGGGGGGGCATCTACCAGGATCCCGCTGGCCCCAGGGCAGACAGCACCCGGAGGGGTGGGGCGGGGAGGGGCTGCAGGCAGCTATGGGGGTGCCCCCCTCCCCAGGGGAGCCTGGTCAGCCCCAGGATGATTTGTCATTGCCTAATGAGATTAATGAGCCCCAGGGGCTGGTATGCAGGGGCCGGCTCTCATTAGAAGCAGATGCTCATGGGAATGATGGCAGTGGCTGGGGGGGGTGGGGGGGAGTGAGCTCCCCAGGTGGTTTCCATTAATCTGTGGGTGGGACCCAGGGCGAGGGCCCCCTGCACTCCCCTCCCCGCCATGCGAGGCTGACGCTGACGCTGACTCTGACACAGGGAGGAATGTGCCCAGAGCTGCCTCAGCTCCGGGACAGGCCCATGCTGCTGTGGCTGTCCATACACTGAGCGTGTGTCTGCTCAGGAGGTGCTTGTTGGAGGAGAACAGGGCTGGAGGAAAGCAGGGACGCGGCCCTGGTTGCCTCCTCTTCCCCTCTCTCCCTCTGTGCCAGCCTCAGTACCTGCGGGGGATCTGGTCCCCCACCGACTAGCAGAGGCTGAGGCCCCAGAGGCCGGGGAAGATGCTCTGCGGCCTCCAAACCTATAATTTGGTTTTCAAATCCATGAACAGGGAGGTTTGTGGGGCCAAAGGGAGCAAACTTGGTGCCACCCCACCCACGGGCACACACAGAGACAGACAGACAGACTCACACGGACACACACGCACACGCATACGCATGCACGCCTTCGTGCAAACTTACGTCCTCTTTTTACAGCTCTGAGATATAATCTACATACCGCAAAGTTCAGCCACTCCAATGGCTGTTAGTATATTTAGAGTTGGGCAATCATCATCCCAACCTA